ACATATTAACAAAATTATTAAACATACTATGCTACTTTTCGTTAATTGGTCCTAGGCTGAATATCGTCATCGTCGACGATCGTCAGGTCAGCGCATCAGTAATATGGCTGACGATGGCAGTACCGTCACTTTTACTGAGGATGACGATATTCGGCATAGGGACGAACATTTACTTAAATATAATTGTTTGCTTGATGTCATAGAGAAATCTGTACATTATAGCGACTTAAATTGGCATTCAGAACTTATCAGATAAACGTTGCTAGCTTAGTAGAGTTCATATTAAAAAGTAGGCACACCAAACAGTTGTGAGCAAATGGTAACTACTTAGGACTACCAATTCTAAGGGTATTAAAACATACTATATATATGTATGTATGTATATGAATATATACATACGTTTTGACGATTTTTATTTATTTATATACTAAATTTTTCATGTTTTTTCATAAAAATAGAGTTCATTTAACCAAAATCAAACCTGGTAAATAAATATTTTTATTTTCATATAGAACTCGGGAAAATTCAAGAAATACAAAGAAATTTTCATAAAAAGTTTCAACTTTTCAATTCGATTACTTAAAAAAAATTTAAGTATGCAGTTTTTAGCCCAATAAATTTTAGTATAATAAGGTGCAAGTTTCAATTCTCTGAAAATTACCGCTGATTTTTGAGAATTTCGTTTGTATACTCAGAATTTTTTCTAATGAATTGAATGGTGAAAAATTTGTATGAAAATGTTTGGTATTTCTTGAGTTTTCCCCCGAGTGTCCAATAGAAAAAAATTTGATTTTGCTGGTTTTTGCTGTTGAATGAATTACATTTAAAAAAAATATGAAAATTTTGCTATGGAAAATATAAATAAATAAAATCGTCAAAACGTCGGGGGTTTTTATATTTTTGTCGCTGACTGTATATTTATGTATGTATAATTGATAAGATATAATCAAAGCACACATACCTGCATACGTGGGGGCCCTGCATTCGGTCCTACAGGTGGACCCTGTATGTGCTGTGGCCGGTATTGGCCTGGCGCCATATTGGGATTCATCATACGTGGTGGATGGCCAGGGGGTACCCCTTGTCCACCAGGATGTGGCGGCATTGGTCCCCCCACACCCATGTTCGGAGGTGCGGGACCACGTGGCGGTCCATTCTGTTGTGACGGTGGAACTGGGCGCGTCTTCTGCAAACTCTCAAACTGGTTTAGCGCCTGTTTAGTCGGATACGTTACCACCGGAGCTTGCCCGTGAAGCTCTTTTTTCGGCAAACGTTCTAAAACCAGACGTAAGCTTGCTTCAGATCCCAGTGATATAACGCTGAAGCCTTTCGATTGACCATTTGATCTGTTCTCAAAAAATTTTACCTCTTGGAAATCGGTTACTCCAATTTCGCGCATAACATTCGCAATATCTTGGTCAGTTGTCCACTGTAGAGATTTATGATAATGAAACAAGAATTTATTTTTCTAAGTACAACAATTATATTGGTTTTTAAATAGTACATCCAAATTTAAGCATAGACAGACAAAAATATTCCGGATTAACCGAAGCTCAAACATATTTTTTCACGTGGTTCCGGGGTTTCAGCTCAATGCCTAGTAGATATGTATATTTTATTTATTTGCTTTTAACACCTTTACTTTTTATTTTTAATAGCTTTTTGTACCTTTTTATTTAAATCAGCTAATTCTGGCCTTTACGCCGGACTTTACTGATCAAAATTCCAGTGAGCTCGATGAAGAAGTTTGAATGAGAACAAAATAATGGAAATTTGAATTTGAGTTAATGCAAGGCATATTTAACAAGGTAGAAGTGACAACGAGCTCGAACTCTCTTGTAGCTAGTTATTATGTCAAAAAACTATAAACAAACAAATTAACCCTATTAGGTGGGCGTGCTGTGTTTGCTACAGGAAAATAAAGCGAGAAAGCTTTTTTTATTACTTCACCTGCTTATAATTTCACCATGGAAATGCATCAGCATAAATACATTCATATGTATGTACGTATACTAATTTTAAGGATTACTTCAATATTACTTTCATAGAATTTTAGCTACATTCGCATCTTATATTCACACATACATATACAGAAAAGAATACCTCATAGAGGAAACCACGTCATTAAATGAAATGTTTTATGAAACTGCTTTAAACATTTTTTTGTTTCTATTCGCCCAATGTTTTTGCTCGTTTAGTTCTTCTACATATGTACGTATGTATATCAGTGTAAATCTAGCTAGGTCCTGACGCGGTTATGTGTGCATAATATTGTAAGAAAATTTTCTTACTCAGTGGTGAAATTCCGTGGCTTCAGGCAACCAAGTCTTCTAATTTCGCACAGAATTCAAAACTATCTCAAAGCACAATTAAATTTTGAATGCAAATTAGAAAATGGCAACTTGAAAAGGGTTAAAAAATATTCATCATTTGACATTATAGTCGGTGTTCAAAAGAGAGAAATGTCAAAATCCTACCTTGTTTAATATGCCTTCGTACTACGCCTTTTTTGACGCAAAAATGAGAAAATTAGAATTGCATGAATTTTTTGCGATTTTGGTTAAATATTTCTCGGATTCGCCCATATCCAGACAGATAGCGCAATTTGAAAGATCTTGGCTAGCTTGGAATAACTGCATTAATCCAATCCGGGATCTAGCTCACCACGGATAATCGAGAATTCCAGTTAAGAGAATTTATAGGTTTTCACAATAACTACAAGTTGGTGCATGCAACTTTACTCACCCAAAATTCAAACTTTTTTCTCAGAAGTGTTCGAATTTTTTGAGTATACATAAAAATATTTATTTATTTATTTATTGAATGAAAAATAATAATACAATTATTTCACAAAAAAAGGAACACTAGCTGCCAGGGCTTACGGGCTCCATATACAAATAAATTGTGGTTATTCGTTATATGGAAGCAATGCGACAAATCGGATTATTATTATTGGCTTTAAGACGCGTTTTGACCTGGTTCCGCTTAAGTGCACTACTACCGAAAATTCTTAAAAATAAATAATTAAACATAAGTGGCGAACAACATCACTTTGATATGGGGGTGCTATAGATATGTCCAATACTGTATATGTAAATGTTTTTTAGCCTATCTTCTTCCTAAATTGGCGACACTAAGAACAAAGTATCGGAAGAATCAAGAAAAATCATACTACAGCATTTTGATAACATAGTTTCTGGAAGAATCTTTGCAAAAGTTGTCATGGCAACAGAAGCTTTTTATAAAAATCACCAATATTATTGCCAGTTTCACAGCGATCCTGTAGGGCATTTCAAGGCCATAGAGCACTTTGTATTGGTTACAGTAGAAAATTAAAAGTTGGTATAGATATTACAAATATCAAAAGGAAAAAACTATGGGGGTGGGTGACCCGTTTTCTACGATACATTTTTTCCCATACAAAAGTTGGACTACTCTAATGAATGTACATATCGTTAGCTTAAAGAACAAAGTTGCTCAGTCAATTATTTTTTTATTTATTTTTTTTCATTGAATATAAACGAGAAAAAATTAAAGAAGTACCTCAATCCCTTTCGAAACGATGCATTTTTAATACCCCATGCTTCATATAACAAAATATAGCTTTTCATAAAAAGTGGACTTCACAACGTTTTACTCTAATCTAGCGAAATAATACATATGTATTCCTTTGGAAATTTCGGTGATTCATTGGCATTTTTTAAATATTTTATATACTACTGGGGTTTTAATTAAGCTTTTTGTGTACTTGTTTATTTTCTAAACAAAAAATTATTATAATTCTATAAAGTGCGCGCAAAGATTCCTTTAGGGTTTCATTATTCAACTTATACTACAAAAATAACTAATTAGTCAAGAATAACAGAAAAGACTAATGACTTCAACTTTGCAGACTTCAGTCAAAGATGTGATTGATGGGCTGCAGTTAAGAAATGTCAATGAATGTGACTGCAGCGATTTAAAGTCACGATGACTGCATTCTTTAACACCTCTGGACTTAAACTTGTTTTTTTAAACAAATTATAACAAAAATTTACTCGTAGCTTTTGCTGAATGTTTTTAGCGCATAATTTCAAAACATGCCAAATTTTGAGTTGTGCCTCTTTTGAAGACGGTCTGTGATATATATATATATATTCCGATCGGTAAACTGATGGATGCCTTCGGCCACGCTAGGGATTATAAACCTCACTAAGTAGAATTCTCTTTTGTGTTGCCAGAGAAGAGTGGCAGAAGTAATCGTAGTAAAAATAATTGCATATATTGTGTTAAATTCATCATAGCCTTTTTGGGCTATAGGCTTTATCGCAAATATCTTTTATGTATATTTGTATTTGTACTCAAAAATTCCCCGAAAAGGTTAATGAAAATACTCACCCAAGTTAAGTTACCGACATATAGTTGATAACGCCGCCCCATATGATTGGGCGTTAAACTACCACCACCTTGATGGTATAGACCATTGGACCCGCCACCGTTTCCGGCCGAATCACCACCAGCGACTGCTGCAACATTATCGCCAGCATTGACAGAGACAGTCCCCCCAGCTGTAGCTGAAGATTCGGTCGGACCCCCTATATCGTCATATAAATCAACACCTTCAGCAGCAAATTCATCCTAAAATGTAGTGTATGAAATTTCTGATAAGTTTCAGATCAGCCATCTCTTTTACTCACCTGGTTCTGCGCGGCAAAATCTTTATCCAGGTCTTCAGCGTACAGGTCTAAAACGGCACCGTCAGCCATGGCAGTCAATTACCAATTTATAACTTTTCTGATGTTTGCAATTTAAAAAGTTTAGCATTCAAAAATACAACAAAAACTTATTACGACTAGTTACCAGTTTTTAATTATCTTTATTTTCGTTTCCCCCGCTAAAAACCGCATTCAATTAAAAATAATGTGTATGTATATTAAGAACTGTGTGCTCTGTGCTCTTCTTCAATACCAGCCACACCGGTATAAAGCGTGAAATTTTTGCACAAATTTCCACCTTAGTTTACTTTCTTCTCTTCTTTTAAACACATTTTTGGTGTGCGATTTTTTTCCTTTGTATGATTAACACTTTTAACTCGATCTTATGAAATATCTCACAACTTTTTACCTAATAGGTATGTCCTGAAAATCCAACAGAAAATTATTTCTTCTCAATTCACACACGCCAACCGAATAGAAAATGGAAGTGCGACCAGGGCTGCCTACTATTCTTAGTAATGAGGATGTAAAAGCCCCAAATAGAAAAATATAGCTGATGCCAGATAAAACTTTGTGGCTTTGCGTGACGCAATGTAATCAAATTTTATGTTTTTGCATGACAACTCGAATTTGGACGAAATAAAATAACTATCAAACCAGCTGATAGTCAACGCGCGCAAAAAAATGTGAGTTGGCCATCTTTTCGCTTCGCGCTGCAGCTGAAACGATCTATGTGGCATGCTTCGTGCATTTTCAAGCAACTCATCTTATCTGTCAAAACGAATCTGTCACGCGATGCGAAGAAAGCGTTTTATCTGGCACTTAAAAGTGTCTATTTTATCCCTTCTGATTTAGTAATAAAATTGAGCCACATTTCTAAAACAAAAGTGCAATGTCTGAAATAAGATAAACTAATTGTTTACACATTAGAAATTAGAAAATTTTAGTAAAATGAAAGAGTAGTAAGTAGTATATGCGAAGGATTTCATAAAAATGTATTGGAATATTATTTCTTTAAAAAAGTGCCATTTACNACTCATCAAAGTTGCTGTGGATTTTAATTATTTTGATTTAAAATTATCAGCAATGTAATTAAGTTTTATGTTTCTGCATGAAAACCCGAATTTGGACGAAACAAAATAAATATTAAACCGGCTGATTGTCAAAGCGCGCAAAAAGATGGGAGTTGACCATCTTTTCGCTTCGCGCTGCCGCTTCAACGATTTATGTGGCATGCTTTGTGCATTTTCATACAATTCATCTTATCTGTCAAAGCGAATCTGTCACGTAAAGCGAAGCAAAAGTTTTATGTGACATCAGCTTCAATTCCGCACGTTACCGAAGATTTTGTAACCGGAAAATTGTATTACCAAAATATGTTACCAGTTCTTGTCACCGTAGTTCCAGGTACGTAGATAATGCAGTTAAAATATTCAGCAATTCAGCTATGAAGAATTGTTGAAATTTTGGCATTGCCTATTTCACGGGGTAATACTTTGTTACCAGCTTATGAGATGGTAACAAAATTTACCGGCTACAAGAGAGCTCGGAAAAGGGTTTAAAAATTGACAGGAACTTCATTTGCCGTTACACAACTTTTATTACCAGCGCAGAATAGACCTGTTAAGGCAAAATAGGACCCAAATGGCACGGCCAATGGATTCAAAGAGACTCAGGCCAAAAAAAATACTGTTTGAGGATAAAATAAGTGACTATCAAATAGTCTATTGCTGGGTATCTCCAGCTAGGATGAATTGGTCCATGGAACAGGCTATAAAAATAGCTTTGTTTCTTAACAGATCATTATCACAATTATCACTCATTTCTGCTAGAAGGCGTTTCTTAACTCAAAAACGAGTAGAAACTAGAAGCTCTCTCTTCCGCTCTTATTTTTTTAGCTCTTCTGCTAATTTCTGCTGTCAAAATGAATAAAGGAAAACTCGCGCCAAATATTTTCAATAGACAAATACACCGATCAGGTGTTTACCTGCTAGTCTTTTCTAGTTTTGCGTTTTTTTTTTAATTTTCTTATTTCGCTCTCTCTGAGCGTAATTCTGTTAATTTTCTCATTCTTCTTCTTCCTGATCATTATCTGCTAGAAAAGAAAAGAAACAAAGCCTAAATGCAACTCTGAATTCTTCGAAAAATACCACATTTCGAAAATGTTTAATGGAAAAGTGGCATCATGCAACACTGGCCATTTGACTTCCGGTAGTGCATTTACTGCCAAACCGATTCGGCAGTGCTTTTGGTCGCGCAATCATTCCTTTTCCAGTGCTGTCGCCGTCTTTCCAATCAAATGGGGTGTTCACAGTTCGTTCCAAATAGTGACTCAAAATGTAGACGTCTACATTTTGAGACGTCTTCTAATGCAGCGTTTTTGCTGCATTTAAAATGCAACATTTAGCACTTTCGAACATATGTTTTCGAAGAGCGTTCATGCTATAGCATTTAGCAAATGTACATTTACGCGAGTTCGAAATCGTATGCTTTTGACAAACAGCCGTGTTCCAGTCTCTTATTTAGATGCGTATATATTACGATCAATTCTCACGCAGGAGATAATGTGCAAAAACCCTACTGAAAAGGAAAAAATAAATTTTAAACCAAAAATTCAATACAAAAACTTGAATTGTTTTAACCATAACCGAACATTTGTTTGTGTATATATTCATTTGTCGGTGCTGTCAATTAAAATTTCCTCACTTAATTAGGAAACAAACCAAACAGAGTTGATCACAAATTGATCCAGATTTCTATCAGCATCAAATCGATGTTGAATTTGCTTAACTTTTCTTTATCCAAATATGTAATGCAAAATAAAAGAAATCTCGATCGGCGATCACTGAAACGCAGCTAGCAACTGTATACTCGAAAAAGCAATGTTGCCACTTTTTCTCTTTAAACCATGTTCGAATCGTGGAAATTTTGGAAGATCACAGGGTTGCTTTTAGCATTTAGATTCTTAATGCAAAAATGGAGTTGCATTTAGTTGCATTTAGGTGACGAATTTTGTATGGATAAATGTACATTTAGAGTAGCATTTAGAGCTAAATGCGCTAAATGTGCTTTTACGCGTAAGCAAAAACAGCCTATAACCGTAAAATCCGTGGTGTTGTTGTTTCCTATACAAAATTGGAAAACGACGACGTCTACATTTTGTCACACTCAAATGTATGTTTTTTACGCATTATGGCTATACTAATCACTTTTTTTTGTATTTATTGGGCACGTTTTCTGTATTTGCATTTAATTTGAGCGCAATTTCTGATGAAAAGAAACAAATCAAAGAAAAGAAATAACAAATATTAGGAATTGGTAATTAAGTTAAATAATTAAAATTTTTCAGAAACAAATTCGAAAGGCGACATATTTAAAATGCACGCAAAGCAGAAATATCTGGCAACACCAGCAAAGTTTTGAGACGACTGCTAGAAAAGGGTGCTCACAGTTTGATGCTAAAAGCCCTGTATGCAGCTCTCAAGAAAACGGTCAAGAAAAAATTGCCATTATTTCGCGTGTGTGTCCAAGGAATTTTGACATTTTTGATACCGCACAGCCTGTTGCCTCACTCTTTCCTCAAGAAATAATGGAACGGGCATATATTTCTGTTGCAAACCTGGGTTACCTTGTGCTCTTTTTTCACAAAAAACTTTAGAAAACCGTAGTAGAAAGCGTAGTAAATTTCTTAAGAACTGCGTACTGCCTTAAGGAAATTTGACTCAAGAAAGCTTCTTAGCCATTTCGTCATTATATATGGGCAACACGGGCAACACGCTTTGTGCTCTCGTTCCTCTGAGTAAAGAGACACTCAAACACACGTACGGTGGAAGTGCGGTACAAGGCGGTACATAGTATAGTTGTGTACCGCCTTGTACCGCACTTCCAATACCGCGTCTGTTTGAGTGTCCCTTTATTCTAGTTGGCCGTTCATAGCTGACAACAACAATTGTGTACAAAAGAATTGCTCTGTGTGAACGCGAAGGGCAACACCAAAAGAGAAATTGCCGAAATTGAGCAACAAACGTTTCTCTGTGTGAACCGAGTCTTAGACCAGTATTTTTGAAGACACAAACGAATAGTGATGTGTTGAGTCGATACTTTAAAGTATTGATCGATACTCGGTACCGATTTAAAAAGTATCCAATACTTT